AAAAAAAAACAATTTTGAGATGGAAGACCAACAAAAAGTCTAGTTCAAAGCTATTCACCTTCCGGACAGCCTTCATGAAATCCTCCTCAATCACGTACTCTCTTTCGGCCCTAATTGCGTAGAGACCTGGGCAGTAGTAAATAGTATAACAAAGGTAACTATAACTGATTCTAACCAAACTGTAAGAATGTTAACCTGCTTCGGTACACACATTACGTAGATCTGCACAGGAGAAACCATCAGAAAGTTTTACCACTGCTTCATAGTCAATGTCACCATGCTTGGTGATAGGATTTGCATGGATTTTCAGAACCTAGAAGACCATAGCTGGTTTGAAAAAGTACGCAAATCCAAATGGGAAATTTCGAATATTTGAAGCACAAATGAGCCGACCTCTAGCCGACCCTGCTCGTTGGGTAAAGGAATTTCGACTTTGCGATCAAGACGACCAGGGCGAAGCAAAGCGGGATCAAGAGTATCAGGTCGATTAGTGGCCATAATAACCTACAATTGTTACCAATAAATGAGTTCTAATGCAGATGTGAAGCTAATAACAGTGATCCTCACCTTTACCTTACCCAGTGAATCAAATCCATCCAGCTGATTCAAGAGCTCCATCAGAGTTCTTTGAATTTCACGATCAGCAGATGTCCCTTCAGAAAAACGTCGACCGCCTATAAACTGGAGAAATTACAAAAAGCTTTTAAGTGAAAGAAGATGAACTTAAGACAAAAACCTACTACTGTAAAGAAAATGAATCAGATATACAAAATTACCTATGGCGTCAATTTCGTCCATAAATACAATGCAAGGTTGATGATCACGAGCATAGTTAAACATTTCACGAATCATTCGAGCTGATTCGCCAATGTATTTGTCAACAATCGCAGATGATACCACTTTCAAAAAATTGCAATCCAGTTGAGAGGCAACTGCTCTAAATTAGGAACAATCCAGTAAAAAAGCAAGAATATAGGAAACCCTACAGAGATACTTACCTCGCCAGCAATGTCTTTCCAGTTCCTGGGGGACCGTATAAGAGACATCCTTTAGGTGGGGTGATTCCAACACGTCGAAACAGTTCAGGATTCAACAACGGAAGTTCAACTACCTACAATTCAGTACGCTACCGTGTTGGCAAAAATTAGTCAGATCAACCGGAAGAAAAAACATATAACCTAGTAAGGGACCTCATTACCTCTCTTAATTCACGGATTTGTTCTGCAAGACCACCAACGTCGGCATAGGTGATATTGCCAGGATCTTCGTGTGACATTTTGTAAACAAGAGGATCGACTTCGCGTGGAAGTTGTCGCCTAAAACATCTCATAATAAGGACTATTGTGTCAATCAAACCGATTCTACACGAATCAACGATTGGAAGTAGAAATTCAGATAAATTGATCATTAGAACTATAAACAATTTTAGGCAGACAATACTTGACAATAAAAAAATATAGATTAGATCTTTTAAGGACAAAAATAAGCATTTCTTAAAGAATTTGGTATATAAGTACCTTATACTACGTTATCTCCGTACATTACTCACATTATTGTTAATGTAGTCATGTCGAGTGCTACGCGAGTACCCTGCTTCAGCTGTTCTTTGTTAATGGAACGACGGCAACCAACAACATAACGGGGACCATTTGTGGCCTGTAAGTTCATGATCAGATTACTTTCACAATCTTGACAATCTCATACGACTGAAAATCAGCATACTTTTCACTTGAGAGCAAAAATAACACAAATCATGAATTAGGATAAAATTGTACTGCTAAAGTTAGGGAATACATAAGAAACGCGATAAGAAAAACATTAAGAGAAAAAGAAAGCTGTAATCTGAGCTCACCTTCACAATAAATTTTTCCTCGGTTAGCTGTTTAAGTACTTCGCCAACAATCTGACCAACAGATTGTAGCGACTTTATATCATTCTCTGATTTGTCATAACTCTTTTGCATTTCAGCTTCCTGTAAAAGAAAGTTAACAAGAACTGAGATGCTAAGATAAGTTGTTCTCAAATCACCTTCTTTCTTAGCAATTTCAACTGCTGCTCAATGTCGCGATATTCAACCAATTTCTTCCTATAATTGGTAAGCGCTCTTGTTTTTTCATCCTCAACAGGAGCCACAGCCGTAGAGCCCGTTGATTCGACCATTCTGAAACCCCCGCGTTCTTATCTATATTCAGGTGAAAAAAA